GCCGTTGTTGACTAGGACCTGCCTTACCTTACAGAGTTCTTCGTCGTCTTGCTTCCATTCTGAGCTGTGGCTGAGGGCACGGTCGACATAAGCGTTAACAACACTCCTCTTGTACCTGTCCGGACAGTCACTGTTGGCATTCAGGCACATTCCTATGTTTGTTTCCTTAGTGTAGACTGCAGTGTGGAAAACTCCGCTCCTTTCCATGACTGTTACATCTAGAAAGGGCAGCTTCCCATCCTTCTCCATCTCGTAAGTGAAACGCAACACAGAATTCTGCTCAAATGCCTCCTTCAGCTCCTGCAGATGTCTGACATCAGGTACCTGTGTAAAAATGTTGTCAACGTACCTGCAGTATATGGCCGGTTTCAAGTTCATGTCGACTAAGACTTTTTGCTCAATGGTACTCATGTAGAAGTTCTCCTACTCTCTGACCAAACGAAATTCCAAAGGGTAACGAAGGACACTACAGCCGAACTGAAAGCAAAGGTCAACAAATTGATCGAAACTGTGAACGCCAAGAAATCTGGACTCCACCTGCCAAAGATTATTGGGGAATATAAACCTGGATATGCGTATGGAAATGTCAAGACACACAAGCCTGGAAACCCACTTCGGCCAATCATCAGCCAGATACCCACACCCACGTACAGACTGGCGAAACGACTCAACGGCTTGCTGACTCCTTATGTCCCTTGCACACGTGAGGAACACAAAACACAGGGCGTTTTTTGTGTTCCTCACGTGTGCCCCAAAGAATGAGGTGATTTGGTAAAATGCTATGCCCAAGATAACTATCCGAGTGCCGGCGGTGGGGTGGTTCATATAGCCTCGGCTATCACCTCATTATGTCCGGTCGTGATGGTCAAGTTGATTAAGGCGTCTTGTACATACCAGTTGCGTTGCTTCTGGGAGTATGGGTTCGAGTCACTTCTGTGGTGTGAGTTTTCAGTTGCATATGTCCTGGGGACCATTCAGGCTTGTTCGCATATATATATATATATATATATATATATATATATATATATATATATATATATATATATATATATATATATATATATATATATATATATATATATATATATATATATATATATATATATATATATATATATATATGTCGTACCTAGTAGCCAGAACGCACTTCTCGGCCTACTATGCAAGGCCTGATTTGCCTAATAAGCCAAGTTTTCCTGAATTATTATATTTTCTCAATTTTTTTTCTTATGAGATGATAAAGCTACCCATTTCATTATGTATGAGGTCAATATTTTTTTATTGGAGTTAAAATTAACGTAGATATATGACCAAACCTAACCAACCCTACCTAACCTAACCTAACCTATCTTTTTAGGTTAGGTTAGGTTAGGTAGCCGAAAAAGTTAGGTTAGGTTTGGTTAGGTAGGTTAGGTAGTCGAAAAACAATTAATTCATGAAAACTTGGCTTATTAGGCAAATCGGGCCTTGCATAGTAGGCAGAGAAGTGCGTTCTGGCTATTAGGTACGACATATATATATATATATATATATATATATATATATATATATATATATATATATATATATATATGTCGTACCTAATAGCCAGAACGCACTTCTCAGCCTACTATGCAAGGCCCGATTTGCCTAATAAGCCAAGTTTTCCTGAATTAATATATTTTCTCTATTTTTTTTCTTATGAAATGATAAAGCTACCCATTTCATTATGTATGAGGTCATTTTTTTTTATTGGAGTTAAAATTAACGTAGACATGTGACCGAACCTAACCAACCCTACCTAACCTAACCTAACCTATCTTTAGAGGTTAGGTTAGGTTTAGTTGCCAAAAAAGTTAGGTTAGGTTGCGTTAGGTAGTCGAAAAACAATTAATTCACGAAGACTTGGCTTATTAGGCAAATCGGGCCTTGCATAGTAGGCTGAGAAGTGCGTTCTGGCTGCTAGGTACGACATATATATATATATATATATATATATATATATATATATATATATATATATATATATATATATATATATATATATATATATATATATATGTCGTACCTAGTAGCCAGAACGCACTTCTCAGCCTACTATGCAAGGCCCGATTTGCCTAATAAGCCAAGTTTTCATGAACTAATTGTTTTTCGACGACCTAACCTACCTAACCTAACCTAACCTAACTTTTTCGGCTACCTAACCTAACCTAACCTATAGAGATAGGTTAGGTTAGGTTAGGTAGGGTTGGTTAGGTTCGGTCATATATCTACGTTAATTTTAACTCCAATAAAAAAAATTTGACCTCATACATAATGAAATGGGTAGCTTTATCATTTCATAAGAAAAAAAATAGAGAAAATATATTAATTCAGGAAAAATTGGCTTATTAGGCAAATCTGGCCTTGCATAGTAGGCTGACAAGTGCGTTCTGGCTACTAGGTACGACATATATAAATATATATATATATATGTCGTACCTAATAGCCAGAACGCACTTCTCAGCCTACTATTCAAGGCCCGATTTGCCTAATAAGCCAAGTTTTCATGAATTAATGTTTTTTCGTCTACCTAACCTACCTAACCTAACCTAACCTAGCTTTTTTTGGCTACCTAACCTAACCTTACCTATAAATATAGGTTAGGTTAGGTTAGGTAGGGTTGGTTAGGTTCGGTCATATATCTACGTTAATTTTAACTCCAATAAAAAAAAATTGACCTCATACATAGAGAAAAGGGTTGCTTTATCATTTCATAAGAAAAAAAATATTGTAAATATATTAATTCAGGAAAACTTGGCTTATTAGGCAAATCGGGCCTTGAATAGTAGGCTGAGAAGTGAGTTCTGGCTACTAGGTACGACATATATATATATATATATATATATATATATAAATATATATATATATATATATATATGTCGTACCTAGTAGCCAGAACTCACTTCTCAGCCTACTATTCAAGGCCTGATTTGCCTAATAAGCCAAGTTTTCCTGAATTAATATATTTACTATAATTTTTTTCTTATGGAATGGGAAAGCAACCCTTTTCTCTATGTATGAGGTCAATTTTTTTTTATTGGAGTTAAAATTAACGTAGATATATGACCGAACCTAACCAACCCTACCTAACCTAACCTAACCTATATTTATAGGTAAGGTTAGGTTAGGTAGCCAAAAAAGCTAGGTTAGGTTAGGTTAGGTAGGTTAGGTAGACGAAAAAACATTAATTCATGAAAACTTGGCTTATTAGGCAAATCGGGCCTTGAATAGTAGGCTGAGAAGTGCGTTCTGGCTATTAGGTACGACATATATATATATATATATATATATATATATATATATATATATATATATATATATATATATATATATATATATATATATATATATATATATATATATATATATTCGATATTTGCCTAATTGAAAAACAAAAAGTGACTAATTTCATCTTCATAGTTTCCTACCTTGTGCTTTAAAATTGCACTGTATGTAGTGCTACCCAATTCCCCAATTTTTATGTACCTAATCCAAACAACTTTACTATTGTGATCATTGCTGTCTTTTTATATATGTTATCAAAATGCTGTATTGTGCCTTTTAATCTTTGTTAAATTACCAATCAAGCTATCAATGCAATCAATCAGAGCTACTGATGTGCTTTATTATACCTACTAATCTCTCTCGTCTCATTTTTTCTTGCAATGTACTAATCATTTTATACATTTTGCTAGAATTTACCTAATTAAAATTATCTGTTAGATTAACTTTAATAAGGACCAGGGCCTCCACACTGCCCGAAACGCTGCGTGTACTTGTGGCTTTACCAGAATGTAAACACCATGCTATGTATCCTCACAAATCCAACGTACCTTCTTGTATATAAATAAATAAATAAATAGCTTTTTGTTACACACAGCCAAATTGTGTAACAGAAAGTGGTCTTGGACCCTTTCTTCCCCTCTTTTTTAACAGGTCATAATAGTACATTGTCATAATTATAGGTTTAAGTATTCAATGAGAGAAGTTTTTGAAGATTTTACCCTTCTTACCTAACATCATTTGTGCAGTGAGGCATTTGGTGATAGTTAATGCTCCCACCAGCCTCCCCGACCATCCAAGTGGTTGGGGGCACCATTCCTTCCCCCCATACTATCCCAAATCTTTATCCTGACCCCTTCCAAGTGCTATATAGTCGTAATTACTTGGCGCTTTCTCCTCATAGTTCCCTTCCCACCAGCCGCCACCTCTCATATTTTATTTTTACCAGTGTTTATTTACTTAATAACTACTGGTATAATATCTTGCTATTATAAAACTAATTCTAAAATCACGAAATATATATGTACTGCAAGTTTCAAGCATAGAATGCATATATAACATGAAGGACTCCTCTTCTCGAGATTCGCCAACTAAAATCTTTTGTTTATATTACAATCGATCCTCCGTGTTGTGTAGTAGAGAAAAATTGAGTTATATCCAGTTTACGTAAAGCTAAAAGTGGTCGACAGCACTCTTAGCCGACAGAAAAAACTTAGGAAGGTTTTCCTTCTTAGTGTGCCTACCTGAATATCGACGTAGCCGCTATGAAGGCGCAAAGAAGAAAGACATTCGTAAGCAGCTTCGTGAATCTGGCCCCTGGCTCTGTGACTGCGTGGGGTAGAGCTGACCTCTCACGACCGTCTAAAGCCCACCTTTCGTAAGAATGGAGAATGAACATGAGCGTAGATAAGAAAACTGGGTAAAGCAAAGGCCATATGTGTGACAATAGTGATCGTATGATTGGCGTAGATCATTTTGATCAGCATATACACAATCATAATTTCACTAGAAAGATTTATAATGGACATATATGATATTACTCAATTTTTTGTAAATGATTCTTCATATTGTACGTGTTGTAAAGAGGCCATTCAGCAGCTTTTTCAAATTCTACTTTCATGTAAAGTTGAATATCAAATAACTTTACAAAGTGAAACTTTATCCTTGGCTGCATGAAATCACAATTCTCTTCACAGGGAGAATAAATACAAGAAACGAGGACTTGCAGTGGTGCCGGTCAAGTTCGGCATCTCGTTAACGGCCACCTGCCTCAACCAGGCCGGAGCCTTGGTGATGGTCTACACTGATGGTTCTGTCCTGCTCAGCCACGGCGGCACAGAGATGGGTCAGGGCCTCCACACCAAGATGGTACAGGTAGGCTTCTACGCTCGTGAGTTCTACTACCAGCAGTGCAAGCATGCCGGGTCGTACAGGCGTGTTGGTGGTGCAAGCGTGCTGGCGGTGAAGGTTCTACATCGACATGAATGGATGCTGAGTACAGGAGTTCTACACAGACATATTCTAGGCATTGTGAGTGGTGCACAGGGTGAAGTAGATGGTAGTTATGTCATGCCTGCCAACAGAAACAGTCTTGGAGACTGAACTAAATTGAATTGTAAGACGTGAAGACAATAATGAACTGAGAGTTTGACAAGAACATTTGAGTGAGTTTAAATGTACACTTCATTCTCCAAAAGGTAGCATCTCGGGTGCTGCAGCTGCCGGTGGAGGAGATATACATAGCCGAGACGGCCACAGACAAGGTGCCAAACGCCGCTCCCACAGCTGCCTCCGCCTCCTCTGACCTTAATGGTATGGCTGTATTGGTAAGTTGTTCCATCGCCAGCCCTCGTGAACTTTAGAGCGTGTAACCTATTACCTACATATGGATCATGTCCTAAATTGGAGATTCAGTCAAAATAGGAATTTGCTAATTTGCTTTAAACTTTGTGTGACTCTCAGGAGGCCTGTAGCAAGATCATGGAGCGACTCAAGCCTTATATTGACCAGAATCCCGAGGGAGCTTGGAGAGACTGGGTCAACGCAGCCTACGTGGACCGCGTCTCGTTGTTCGCTACTGGCTTCTTCAAGTAGGTTGCTGAGGCGTTTGTGAAATCGTGCAGAGAAGCAACTATAATATATTCTTCAATAGCATACTGCAGTTCACACTAAAGATCACAATCATTCCAAAAAAATCTACCACTTACGGGCTATTCATGCCCATATCACCTCTTGGGTGGCTTAATTTTCATCAATCATACTGCAGACTTGTAGTGAGATACTGATGCAGGTGTAAAGTCTTTGTGAAGTCGTCGTGTTAGTTGACCAACCCTGTCCTCCCATAAAGAACGTCGCATTTCGCTCGTATGCGTTCCATAAGGACAAAAATTGTACATAAAAATGGAAGCTGCTTGGGTAAGTGACGTACTATCCCGTTTTCTGTTTTGGGTCCTCTGGTGAGTTAGGCGAGGACACTTCAAATTGACAGTTTCCTTGACGTTTGGGAAACCTTAGGAGCACGGGTTGAGTTGACATACCCCGAGGAGTCCCTCAGAGCTACACTGGTTGCACGGCAGCCATAATAATCATGTCCAATATTAATTTTGGAAGCGTCCGCGTGCTCTCTTAAAAGCTGTAATTTATTTTATATAAATGTATATGAGTTTCTGGAAATAGTTTCTTAAATCATTTTTAATTAAGTCTTTGAGTCTGCTCTTGTACCCAGTGAGGGAGATCTAGCTCGGTCTCTTTTAAATAATTTGAGTTGATATCATGATTCCTCACAGCAAGTCTCTAGTGTCTTAAAGCACAATTCTCTCAGTTTTGCAGTTTACCTTGTCTATTATGCACCCAAACCGATCTTTTTGGTGGCAGTGGAAAAGATTACAGGGTACATAATGGATTCAGGGACTGAACCCCATAATTCATTCAGCAAATCAAGTTACGGTCTTTACATTCAATCCCACAAGTTTGCGAAGTGTCTTATTATTAACCATTGTACCTGTTCAAGTTTTTATGCTTTCTGAGAGGCGAACTGCAGGATAAGGCTGCATATAATAGAGTTTGTCTCATATAGGTGGTGGTCAGTGAGCGCCTTTAAGTCCCTCCTTACCCGCGTCCGTTCGTCAGGTCCCGCGTCCATTCATCTAGGGAAACTGTAGTTCATGGTTTGACCACAAAGAGACCGTAGACTTGCTTCAAATTCACTGCATGGTTTGATTTAAGATCAGTTAAGTATTGCTCTTCGAGACAACATGAGTTGCTTAACCAAATATTTTAGGTACAAGTCTAAGCCATTGATTCGTGCTAGTATGAACACTAAGCAATACTCGTGCTGATCGCCGTGGGTGTTGCAGGACTCCTGACATCGTGAGATTCAACTTCGAGACGGGCGAGGGGCGGCCATTCAGCTATTTCTCATACGGAGCCGCCGCCACAGAAGTGGAAGTTGACTGTCTAACAGGAGACCACGCAGTGAGTACACCCAAGTGCTGTGATGGTCAAGACCGCTGCTGGTGCGGTGGTTGAGCAGGTAGTTGTTGTTAGTGGCATAAACTAGCAATTTTGTTGGCAAGGGGGTGACCTCATCTCGCCTGAGGTCAAGGTGAGATCAAAATGACAAAAGCACTTGCTCGTAAATCAAACGCCTGCATTTGCGGAAATTAATGACTCAACATTGATATAATGCAATATGTTCTGAACTTCTTAGATATGATGACGGATGCGAGGTAAAAATGTTACAGACCGCTGGACCACATGTTTCTGCCTCTTAAGACGGGTGGACCGCACGTTTCAGCCTCTTAGGACGGCTGGACCGCTCGTTTCAGCCTTTTCACAAACTCAGAACTCTGCTACAACGGTTTCCCACAAAATACGGACAACTTGTAATTTAAATTGCAAAATATTAGCAATTTTTGTTAAAAAATGGCTAAAAATATGTAATTTTATGCCAGCAAATTTGCATTCCATTGGACAGGTGCTACGAACTGATATCGTGATGGACGTGGGAGAGTCCCTTAACCCTGCCATAGACATTGGCCAGGTAGAGGGAGCCTTCATGCAGGGTATGCGGCTCTTCACCCTGGAGGAGCTCTGCTACTCCCCCGAGGGCGTCCTTCTCACACGAGGGCCCGGAATGTACAAGATACCAGGTACACCAACCTTCTCCTTCTCAACACCCTCACTTGTGAATCAATAATGTAAAATTTACTGAAATACAAAAACGGATAACATTACTCTAGGTGACATTAGTTAGTCTAGTGAGTTTGGGGCATCCCCGAAGTGTTCAGATATTGTAAATAAATTTAGAAAATTAAGCGATGGCCGTTGCCAAAGCATGGTCACTAGGCTACGGCCTAGTGTCATATAGTTTACAAGAGGCTTGTAATCAAGGCAGGATTATATAAATAGTGCCTTTTGCTGATGACGATCCACTGTGAATTTGTACCTTGTGAATCCTCCACTTGCCGCAGTCATTGTGAGCAGTGTTATTATTGAACTCATCAACTTCATTGTTACTAGCTTCATTAAAATAGTGTCACTATTTATTGTCTAACTTGGTATTGTTGACAGGTTTCCAGGATATCCCGAGGGAATTCAACGTGTCTCTTCTGCGAGGGGCGCCGAACCCAAGGGCGGTGTTCTCGTCAAAGGTCAGGCTTCATGACTTCACCAGATGATTTCTCTGAAACCTTTATACTCTTATATTGAACTCATTTGGAATGCCAATCGCTTGATCTCGATACATGCAGGTCAGCGTTCAATCTCCGACCGTCCAAGTGGTTGGGTGGCACCATTCCTTCCCCCCGTACCATCCCAAATCTTTATCCTGATCTCTTCCAAATACTATACAGTCGTAATGGCTTGGCGCTTCTTCCTGATAATTCCCTTCCTCTGAATTGCTTTAAATTCAATATTTTCTCTTTTTTAAATTAATAATGTTAATCGTCTGAAACAGTGTTACTGTGAGATTTTGGTCGAGTATATATGTGCTTTACATATTTACCTATCACACTCTGCTTCATAGGGCGTGGGTGAGTCGCCTCTCTTCCTGGCTGCGTCCGTATTCCATGGCATTAAACAGGCCCTGGCTGCCGCTCGCGCCGATAAGGGATTCGACCCAGTCTTCCGCCTGGACTCTCCTGCAACAGCTGAACGCATCCGCATGGCCGTTCCCGACTTCCTCACACGCAAGGTACACCATGGAGGGTTGTGTGTGTACTTGATTAAATATATCTAAAATAGAATGTTTGTCCAATGTTTAAGGGCAGATGTATGGGACTAATCTCATTAGGCTATGCAGGGTGGCTGGTAGGTGTTATGGTACTTGTATGCAGATCGGGGTCGTCCTCAATGCCCCCCTTGAAAGGGAAATGGTCCCCTATAGCGACCCCCATGAAGTTGGAGATGAAATGGTGGCCACAGGTTCCATAGAGTTTCATTGTATATTCATAGTGGCATAAATTCAGAATTCAGATACTGACGTGCAAAACCCCATATTGTGATGACAGTTCTTCACTCTGGCGGCTCCAAACACACTAAATAGCATAAATAGTTTTGGGGGTCAACCTAGGCACCATCAGGAACCCCATCGAATAACTAATTCATATATATTTTGGAGAAAAAAATGATGTAAATTCAGAGAATTGTCAGAGTTTGTTCTGAATGTCATCCAAGGTAACATAGGTCCTCAGTGGGGGTACAACCTCTGTGCTCGTGAAGCCCATGACGGATTCTGCAGTGGATCATGACAAGTAACGTAAAACGCACAAATTTAATTAGATTTCTAAATATAGATATTCTTGAGAACTCGATTGAATTATGTACAATTCACATGACAGTATTATCCAAAATATGGTATGAATGTTACTTGGGCTAATCACACTCAAATTGTCAAAGGATTATGGAGGGAATGCATAGAGAAATCACAATAGCATGATGCATCGCAGGAGCAAATCCACAAGGGCCACGATGAGGGCAACCTAGTTGCCCTCATCATAACCTACTTATACTCATTACACTTAGTCGTGGCCTGACAAAGGCAGCATCTGGGATCATCCCATGCGTAAGTTGGAACTCTCTTCACGGCCCTTGAGGATTTGTTCATGGTAGCCCGTCCTCCAAACAAAGACCCAAAAGTGATTCCATGCACCTGCCAAACCCCCTGTTTATGAATGAAAAACTTTTTACACACGACTCACAACTGTTGATGTTCGAATACTTTCGGAACAAGTGCTTCACTGACGAATTTTGTTCAAACCACAACGCTGAAAATGCTTCACCTAGATACTACAAATACAAATAATCGCCAACAGAACCTAAACACTAACCTAACCTAACCTAACCTATGCCTATATATGCACAATATGCTAATATATTATAATAATAATTTATATTTGAGAAAATTCCCGTTTTGAGTGAACAACGTGTAAAAATTTATGAATTCGTCTGTGTTCGACCGCCGGATTGAATGGACTTGAATTGAGGACGGGTTGGTTCATGGACTGAATGGCTTATACAAATAACATAAGAATCAAGGTAACTGCAGAAGGCCTATTGCCCCACACGAGGCAGCTCCTATCTGAACTTAGAATAGAATGCATACCTATTACAACACCCTTAAAAGTGTTTAACCCATTTGTCTGAAAAAATAAACAAACGGCAAAAATTAGGTATAGGAAATTTGTTTATTATCCTAATTTTATCCCGACATCAAGATGTGCCATATGAGCCGAATAATCCAATTTAAAATATGTAATTATTAAAATCCATATGAAAATGTTTATGTAAATTGTCATTAAAAATTTTTTCCCCCCACAGATTGAGCCAGCAAGCCCTGGAACGTTCAAGCCGTGGTCTGTGAGAGTTTAGGTGCAGACACCAGGAGATATCTTGACGACATTAGTCTCTCAAGGGTTTTTTTTTTGGTCAAAAAGAGTTCATGTTCAAATTGGCCGTCGTCTTACTTTAGTAATGTGTGAGGAGCTTGTACCTTCTGGTTTGTGTTCACAGGGGTCTTGCTTCAGTCAATTATGTCTAAAAAAAAATTAATTCCACCATTTTATGGATTACTCTCCAGTTGAACGGTAATATGTACAATGTTAAATTAAGTATTATTGGTGAAGCCAGATATACTAGTGGCGTTTGTCAAGTAGGTGAATTAGTGTAAAATGGTTAAAATGTGTGCAGAAATTTCCTGCTTGACACAAAATGGTTCTCTGAAGAGAACCATTGTGGCAAAACTACCGAAAACGCGTTAAGCATTCTCTATTATTCACATGTGGTTATTCTGCATATATATATATATATATATATATATATATATATATATATATATATGTGTGTGTGTGTGTGTGTGTGTGTGTGTGTGTGTGTGTGTGTGTGTGTGTGTGTGTGTGTGTGTGTGTGTGTGTGTGTGTGTGTACCTGATGTCAGATATCTGCAGGAGCTGAAGGAGGCATTTGAGCAGAATTCTATGTTGCGTTTCACTTACGAGATGGAGAAGGATGGGAAGCTGCCCTTTCTAGATGTAACAGTCATGGAAAGGAGCGGAGTTTTCCACACTGCAGTCTACACTAAGGAAACAAACATAGGAATGTGCCTGAATGCCAACAGTGACTGCCCAGACAGGTACAAGAGGAGTGTTGTTAACGCTTATGTCGATCGTGCTCTCAGCCACAGCTCAGAATGGAAGCAAGTCGACGAAGAACTCTGTAGGGTAAGGTAGGTCCTAGTCAACAACGGCTTCTCCAATGGTTTCGTGGAAGACATCATAAGAAGGAAAGTGAAACGCCATGCAACCTCAGAAGAGACAACTAACACAACACCTATACCCCATATTAGACTATTTTACAGGAACTTCTTTTCCACAGCCCATAAAACGGAGGAAAGGGTCCTGAAAGATATTGTTTGTAGAAACGTTATCCCTACAGACAAAAATCAGAAGATACAACTGACAATTTACAATAAAACCAAAAAAACGGCCAACCTACTAATGAGAAACTCTCCAGACACAAAGCAGAACGCTTTAAAAGAGACCAACGTCGTCTATGCCTTCAAATGCCCTCTTGGGGACTGTAAGCCTCAAAAAACTCAGTATATAGGCAAGACAACAACATCTCTTTCCAGGCGTTTAACGATGCATAAGCAACAGGGCTCCATTAAGGAACATATAGTCTCTTCCCACAACCAAACCATCACCAGAGAAATCTTAGCAAACAACACAGAAATCATCGATAGATACAGCGATAGCAGGCGGCTTAGCGTCTGCGAGGCACTACACATCAAGAAGTCAACACCAGCAATCAACAGCCAATTAATGCACAACCATATTCTACCCACTTCAAGACTCCACTCCAATATAGAAGCATCAAGAAATATGGGCCAATAAAAATAGGCCTTCTGCAGTTACCTACCTTTAATACCCATTGTGTCGTGTCCTGTCTTGTGTTAAAAGTTTATTTTCACCTCATCCAAAACTATTGTAACATGTCACCTCACCCAAATGTAGGTATAAAAACTCGAAGATGTTTAAGCTCTATTCAGTTAAAGTTGTGTGTGTGTGTGTAAACTAAAGTCTTTGAAGATGTAATAAGTTTTACGAAACGCACTCAAGTGTCGCGTCAGACTAGAAATAAAAATGAATTTTGGAGAATTGATCTTTGAATTACCATCAACAGTGAAAAAAAACGTAAGAAAGATGGAGAAAATTCGTGTTAGAATTATTAATCTTACTTTTTCGGTCATATTTAATAATAAATGTCTACAGGAAAGACTGCTACCAAAATATACTATATATATATATATATATATATATATATATATATATATATATATATATATATATATATATATATATATATATATATATATATATATATATATATATATATATAAAAAGTTACCCCACCCAAAATACCATATCACCTCATTCAAAATGAGTATAAGTTCGATGAATCTGTGTGTAAATAAAGTCATTGACTGTAGTAAGCATTACGAAATGCGTTCAGGCGTCAGACAAATAAAAAAAAAATTTTGGAGAATTAATATTTTTATTACCACCAACAGTGAAGAAAAACATAAGAAATATTGAGAAAATTTGTGTTAGAATTATTAATCATAATTATTATTCTTAATTATTAATCATAATTATTATTCGCCTCATATTCAACAACATATATATATATATATATATATATATATATATATATAACATATATATATATATATATATATATATATATATATATATATATATATATATATATATATATATATATATATATATATATATATATATATATATATATATATATATATATATATATGCAAACTAGCCTGAATGCTCCCCAGGACTATATGCGATTGAAAACTCACACCCCAGAAGTGACTCGAACCCATACTCCCAGGAGCAACGCAACTGGTATCTACAGGACGCCTTAATCTGCTTGATCATCACGACCGGACATAAAGAAGTGATAGCCGAAGCTATTTGAACCACTTCCCCGCCGGAACTCGGATGGTAATCTTGGGCATAGCATTTTATCAAATCACCTGATTCTTTGGGGCACATGCGAGGAACACAAATGCAAACAAGCCTGAATGGTCCCCAGGACTATATGCGATTGAAAACTCATACCCCAGAAGTGACTCGAACCCATACTCCCAGGAGCAACGCAACTGGTATCTACAGGACGCCTTAATTAACGAAAAAGACATATGAAATACATGATAGGTACAAAAATGAAATATCATACGAAACTCTTAACTGCTACAACCCAGTAGCAATCCCATATCATATCCTAGATTCACTAACTGTCCATATGAAGTGGCTGCTCAACACTTGGCTTACCACTTACTACTCCCACACTAAATGGGGTTGCAATCTCTTCATGACACTATTGTACAATCAGCCCAAAAAGTACATAAAACTCAGCCTGTGGCTGAAACACCAGAAACATCTGCATAAATATTCCCCAACACAAGAAGAAATCAATCTCTCACCTTACACTGCATCTTGTATGCAATACACATTCAAGCACTCCCCTTATATATTCCTGTGTATCCACCATAAACATCTGATCTGTTTCTCGAGGCTCACTACCATATATATCTCTAGGTCCTCCAAAATACTCAAAAGGCTCTTCTGCATTTCTCCCAAAACTGCTGCACAATGAAGTCCTCTTCAAACACCAGTGATGCTTCACCATTGATTCCACGGAGACACGTGAAACTCCTCTTCGCTGCTCCTTTACACTGCTTGAGGAATTTCTCACTATGGAGTTCTGCTCTCCCACAGATTTCAGCATACACTTCTCCAGCCTCGAAGTTTCCTCCATTAAATCCTACCCGGGCCTCGAAGTTCTACCATCAACTCCTCCTCAAACAAACCTGTAATTTCATTGCCATGCCAGTAAAAATGTTTCACTCCTAAAATATAATTAAATGTATTCACAGAAAATAAAACGCCTCCATCTCTTTAAACTCTAACACCTAGCCACTACGGTCCTCCCCTATCTTGGGCGGGTCCATTTCGACATGCTGCCGGCCGACGCCCTGGTCGCGAGGCTCGGGGCAGCTTCCCTCAGTCATTCAGCCACTGACACTTGGCTACACGCACCAGCCACTGGCTACACGCTCACACAGTGAAGTCTTCAAGGGCTCCACAAGCCGTCTAGTTAGCAGGCGTAAACATTGAATTCTTCCAGGACTCCACCAGCCCTCTGGCTAACACGCGCACACAGTGAAGTCTTCAAGGGCTCCACAAGCCGTCTAGCTAGCAGGCGTAAACATTGAAGTCTTCCAGTGCTCCACTAGCCAACTCACTAGCACGTTCGAACAATAAAGTCTACCAGCTCTCCACAAGCTAGAATGCTCAAACAGAGGAATCTTGCAGCGCTCCACTAGCCCTCTGGCTTGCAAGCTCAGACAGTGAAGACTTCCAGCGCTCTACTAGCTCACTCGCTAGCACACTCCAACGGTGATTACTTCAAGCGCTCCACTAGCCCTCTAGCTAGCACGCTCAAACAGTGCATGCTTGCTAGTACACTCCAGCAGAGGGGTTCGTAGGACTACCTGTTTACTGCTTCACTCGCTCTGCGTTTCTGCCGTCTGCCACCAATCAAAAGTACCTCATTATCTTCCAGAACAGCAGACTAGAAGATGGGAAACATTGTTAACGGGAGGGTCAACTCTTTTAACTCTGAACCTGGATCATAAATGACGCAAAGGTCCATCACAATGATATTTATGTGTTGTAACACTCACAAGGTATTCCTGTGTTGCAGCACTCACAACACTATATTTATGTGTTGTAACACTCACAAGGTATTCATGAGTGACAGCGTTGCAACTCACACAACACGTTTTTATGTTCTACAAATCTCACATATCTTATTTTAATGAAGGGTTAAAATTTGAATCCTTTCACGATATAAACATTGCATTCCTAATATTTAAATAAATAAGCATAATTGATTGCATAGATCGATAAAAGGTGATTGAAAAGAGAACGAATGAGTTATTAAATACAAGAACAGAAAGTGATTAAATATTCAAAACAAAATTCAATAAATCAATCATATGCGAACGAATAGTTAATAAAACTGATTAAACAGATATATATTCGTGTTAAATATCTAGATAAGGGTGATTGTATTATTAAATAAATGATGACTGAACAAATAAATATAATATGATAAAAAGAGAAAATATAATACATGCGAGAATTTATAAATAAAACATGATTGAACATAGACAATTTGATTAAATAAACATTGGATAATATTGAATAAATAGTTTTGGGTTAAACTAAAATATTTTTTAGCTAATATATGGAAAAAAGGAAGTCCAGTGAGGGTCCCGAGAGTTCG